GCATACCTGTGTTACTGTGGGTCCCCAAACCATTAATTACTAAAACCCATGCAAACTGAATGTTGCCATGGCAACCTGCAGCCCCACAGAAGGCTGTTTGTCTCCTCCTTGACCTTTCAGGAGATCTGTATCTTGCTCAAGCCCCCTTCTCTAATCCGGTTTTTAAAATATAATATTATGCTACTGGAAGGGATCAGACCTTTAATCTGATTGTGTGTGCATGTGTCAGCGCGTGTATGGGGGAGTGCCTGCGTGAACGGGCACCCAGCAGCGGCGCGGAGGCCATCCGGTGAGCGGCGCGGAGCCTAGACAAAGGAACGGCGGCGTGTGGCTGCCCGGCTGGGGCTGCGGGGAGCACCTGGGTGGAACGGCTGGGTCGGCACCCACGAGGGGGAATCCTCGGCGTGGAAGGAGCAGCCCTCCCCAGTCCCCTGAGCGCGGGCTCCTTCCCGCTGAGGTTGGGCAAGAATTGTGCTTTTGCTGCTGAGGACTGCGGAGGGGACGCTGTCGCACCCGCTGCAGTGTCCCCCCCTGCGAGCACAGGTCCCTGCCTGCCGCTGCGTTCGCCGCTGGGCCGGACCAGGCAGCCGAGTTTCGGGCATTGCTGCATGTAGGTTGGTACGCAAAGTGCGTGGTCTGGATCTTGCCCTGAGGTCCTGCAAGCTGGATATTCTTTTGCCTTGTTGTACTGATAACTGTAAATGTAACAAATACATCATGTAGGGGATGTTACCACTTCAGGTGGTCAGAATCATTGCACAACCAAAACAATCTTGGTTCTTTGTGAATAATTGGGACGGGACGGTTGCAAGGTAAGGGACTCCTGAATGATCCCTTTAAGTGGCTGGGCCTTGGGAGGACAGGTATGCAAACTGCAGAGATGAGGAGGCTGCAGGATAATCTGAAGCCCCCGCCGATCACTGAGAGACGCCAAACAAACATGCGTGACCGACATTACCATATGCTAATGAGTTCTCAGTAATATGATAAGCATTTCTTGCAAATGTAATGAATGTGTACATTAACATAGCGTAAATACCTAGTAAGTGTGTCCTTTCGGTGCACATGTTTGGAGGAGGGATCCCCCGAGTGCCCGGCGCCGTAATAAAGAATCCCTGCTTCATAGTCTGCCGGCTACGGAGTCTTCAATTCTGGCTTTTCACGGCGTCAGTATTCCCTCCAAGGGAAGGATCTTCAGTCCTGCATTGGCTCTGCCTGCTGGACCCCACGAATTTGTTGCCTGTTCCGTATATGACAGGATTCCTGTGAGCAAGATAGGTGGTGTGTAAACCCGGAGGAACAAATACCCCTCTTCCCAAGAGACTTGCTGTCTTCTGAGAACACTGTCGTGTGTTGTGAGCGAGCTGAACGCACGGAGAACGCCCTGTGACCTGGCCCGAGGGAGGGGGTCTCGTTCCTGTGCTGTGCTGCTTGCTCGGGTCGCGCTTTGCACGGCTCTGTGCGTCGAGAGCCAGAGGGGCTTTGGTTGCTGCTGCTTCGTCTTCTCCAGGATGAAGGCACCAAAGTCCAGAGCCAGCAGTTAGGAGTGGGGGATGAGGAACGGGAGAGCAGGGA